TGCCTCAAAAGTAAAAAGCCAGCTTCTACCCCACTACTGTATCCTTCAACTTTTGTGAACATTGAGGACTTGGTGTTCCAGCCAACCAGGTACTACTGTCTGCCCACCATAAAGAGGTACACCTTCCCCACTGTACATTTGTGGGTGAGCAATCAGATTGGACAGCAGTAAAGTGTATAGTACCTGATGCATGTCTGGTCAAAGACTGTAAGTACACAGACATGTACTCATTCATAAAATCACATATATGAGTACATTTACACTGCACACAATGCAGGGATGAAGGTGGAAAGTAAACCAAAGAAACTCAGTGGAGTTTACTCACTACCTGATTAGAGGTGTTAAAAGTATGAAAGATGATTGAATTTTATTGTATTCCTAATTACATAGATTCACATTGGTTTTCCCTAGGGAGAAAGAGACATGAAAAAGAAAAGAAGAGAGAGTGCGAGAGAGCTGTAATTATTGTACAATCACAAGATTCTGATTATTATTATTAATATAATTATTGATCACAATCACAGGCTCAATTCACAAAGCTTTAAAACAAGTCATTTTATTTTAGCCATGCAGCTGTAATTTTCAAATTACATTGTACTCAGCTGAAAATAACTGTCACATTTTCTAAACTAACTATCCGTTTCCTGGTGTCTTAAGGTGCCCATACACCTTACGATTATCGTACGATAATCGTATGCGATCGACTTTTCGAACGACAATCGTACGTGTGAATAGAGTGCCCGGCCGATAGTACTGTACAATCGTACGACTTTTGACGGTCAAGCATGTTTCAAAACGTTGCTAGATCGTACGATTGTCGTAAGGTTGCTGGCGTTTCCGTCCGTCAAAAGTCGTACGATCTACACTGCGCATGCGCGAACGAAAATACGACAAATCAATTACCGCATTTCGTCCAGGTGCTTTTCGTTAATTACGGCTAAATGAATCTTGCGATCATCGGGGCAGGATGGGGCTATCGTATGAAAATCGTACGACTATTCGATCATCGGACGAAAACTTTCGTCCGATAATCGTAAGGTGTATGGGCACCTTTAGCTTGGTGAAATAAGCCTTATCAGTATTAAATTGTACATGTGAGGACATTTGGAAATATTTTAAGCCTTACTTATTATAAACCTCAGGTACACCAGGTACCCCCAGCAGCCAAACTCCTTTTTGTCTACTAGCTCTTGTCCCAAATTCCTCTAACTCCATACATGAATGACATCTGAGTGGCCCATATTGGTTACTGAGCACATATTGTAATGATTAAAATATATGTTTCCAAAGGGAATGGTGCCAAAGGATTGTGAAGCATGAGGATTCATATTCTGTCTCCAGCTCATGTAATATGACAGTGTTTGCCTAGTCTATAGCTAATCATGAACCTGTTTTCTCATTTGTAGTCTGTACCTATGATAAGAATTACACTATATTAGTTTTGGCTGTTTTGTTTTTTTGATTAAAGACTGTTGAATCTGGCTTAAACTGGCACCTACATCTTTTTCTCGGTGTGTAATCTTGTGCCATCTCGATTGGCCAGAACGGAATGATGTAACTGGAGTTCATTTACTCTGGCACCAAGGTATGCCGAGAATGTTCACTGAGCTGCACATGTGTGGGTGAAGGTAGATTCTGAAGAAGACTGCGAACAGGCAAGTATGTTTTTTTTTTATTGCAGAAGAGACATGCTGTGCCCCTTCTACAATAAAGAGGCTGCCTGCTCGCAATTTTTACATTAAAAAAAATATATAATCTTAATTTATACATTTTGCAGATAGGTATACATCACACGTGGTTACATTAAAAGCTTAAATTAATCTAGAAATTATTTTGCGTGTCTTAAACTCCAAAATAAACACATTGAAGAGCCAATCAGCTGCACTGTTTGGGTATTCTGATGGCTGACTGCCAGAATACAAAAGCCCGTCAGGGAAGATTTCCCCACCATGCTGTTTAATGTGGACAGGGGAATCAAGAGGTGTTTTTTTTCGTTCAATGCATGGGGCTAAAATAGAAAAAAAAGTGTTAAGTTATGGCCAGCTCAAGCCTGTTAGTGGTTAGCATAGTCACTGGGTATTTTGATAGTGTTGGGCATTGATTGTCAGACTACAATAGCCCGGTGATGGTGGGGGGATTCCCCTATCCACGCTGTTCAGCATGGATGGAGGAATCCATTAGACTTCTTTTGTTTTGGCCCACAGGCCGAACAAAAGAAATCTATTAGTGTATGGCTGCAGTGCTTCTGCTGTTCTTCTAACAATGCCAGTTCCTGGCAGGGAGCAGTGTATGGATGCATACTTTGGTGACTTGGTAGTCATCGGTTCCCTACAACGTTTGAGCTCTGGGTGTTACCTGAACTACCTATATCAGGGGTAGCCAAACTCCGGCCCTCCAGCTGTGATGGAACTACAAATCCGATGTGGCATTGCAAGATTCTCAAAGCTACAGACATGACTCCCAGAGAGAGATGCATTATGGGATTTGTAGTTCCACCACAGCTGGAGGGCCGGAGTTTGGCTACCCCTGACCTATATCATAACCAAAAACATGCCTATGTGAATAAACCTATATATTGAGCCATCTATTCCAGCCTTTCTCAACCAGGGTGCCTGGAAATGTTTGCACAGCGTCATGCCTTTCCATGGTGCAGGCAGGCCCAGCACTATGATCCAAGAAGGGTGGGTCAATTCAGAAAAGGACAGAGGTTGTCCTCCGCCTAGGCCTGCACCACAGCCTGCCCTCTGCCTTGCTGTCGCAGTTGCAGCACCTAATGTGATGGTAGAACTCTGTTGTGAGGGGGAAACTGAGGTCTCTGATGTAAAGGGAGGGGGCTGATGGAAACAGGGAAGTCTGATGTGCAAGGGAGGGAATTTTATGAAAGGGGGACCCTGATGTGAAGGGGAGACTATAATGTGAAGGGGGCTTCTGATGTGAAAGGGAGACTCTGATGTGAAGGGGGCTTCTGATGTGAAGGGAGAACTCTTGATGTAGAAGGAGGGGGAACTCTGATATGAAAGGGGACTCTGATGTGAAGGGGGCTTCAGATGTAAAGGGGGACTCTGAAGTGAAGGGGAGATTCTGCTGTGAAGGGGAACTCTGATGTGAAGGGGGTTCTCTGAAGTGAAGGAGAGATTCTGCTGTGAAGGGGGAACTCTAATTGAAGTGGGGACTCTGATGTGAAGGGGTACTCTGAAGTGAAGGGGAGATTCTCCTGTGAAGGGGGAACTCTGATGTGAAGGGGTACTCTGATGTGAAGGGGTACTCTGAAGTGAAGGGGAGATTCTGCTGTGAAGGGGAACTCTGATGTGAAGGGGGTTCTCTGAAGTGAAATAGATATTCTGCTGTGAAGGTGGAACTCTGATGTGCAAGGGGGAGGAGATTTTATAAAAGGGGGGCTCTGATGTGAAGGGGAGACTCTGATGTGAAGGGAGGACTCTGAAGTGAAGGGGAGATTCTTATGTGAAGGAGGGACTCCAATGTGAAGAAGAGATTCTGCTGTGAAGGGGGAACTCTGATGTGCAAGGGGGAGGAGATTTTATGAAAGGGGGACTCTGATGTGAAGGGGGGACTCTGAAGTGAAGGGGAGATTCTGATGTGAAGGAGGGACTCCAATGTGAGAAGAGATTCTGCTGTGAAGGGGGAACTCTAATGTGAAGGGGGGACTCTGAAGTGAATAAGATATTCTGCTGTGAAGGGGGAACTCTGATGTGTAAGGGGGAGGAGATTTTATGAAAGGGGGACTCTGATGTGAAGGGGGGTTTCAAATAAAGGGGGCCTCTGATGTGAAGGGGAACTCAAATGTGCACTGGGAGGGGACTCTGATGTGAAGGGGGGACTCTGATGTGAAGGGGGAACTCTGATGTGAAGGGGGAACTCTGATATAGAAGGAAGTGGAACTCTGATATGAAAGGGGGGCTGTAAAGTGAAGGGAGGACTATGACGTTAAAGGACTGATGTAAAAGGGAGCTTCTAATGTGAAAGGGGCTCTTGATGAAAGGGGGCGCCATGATGTGAAGGGGGGCTCCTAGTTTGAAGGGAGGACCTTCATGTGAAGGGGAACCCCCTTTTTTTTTTATTTCAGCAAGCCCCTCACCCTTTACATTAGATTGGGGTGACTGGAGATTCTGCATACTTTTAAAGGTGAGACACTCTGACCTAGACAGTGAAAAAAGCCATGTCCTTGAAAGGACTCCGCTCTTCCACATTCATTTCGGGTCCAGAGGCCATTTGTTTTTAGAAGAAAACAGAAATGTTTTGACAAAACATCCAGCAAAATACCATATTAAGCATTTTTAATGTAAAAGCTTTGATGACTAAAGGCCCCAAGAATGTCTTCGGTCCAAGAATGTCCCTGTCATGATGAATGCACGGCTGACTAATTCTCTTCACTGTGTCATAAGGGCACCCAGCCAAACCAGCACAGGGAAAGTAAGGCACTCAAGCATGGGATCTGTAGATGGGAGGAAATGGTGTTTGCTGTCAGGACTGTGATAGGTTTTTTTTTTTTTTCTCTTCATGCAAGTCTTGATCAGACAGGCTGGAAGACAGTGATTTAGAGGAATGTCTGAGGTGACACAACAGGGAGAAGTGTCTGAGGGCGGGAATTGGGCGGGCTTCACACTGTACACGATCTAGCCGTGCTGCCAGCCTCGACTCCTCCACTCATTTGTATCAGCTCTAAACGTCCCACACTGTTATCACAGGCAGGGAAGACACCACAATATATCTCCGCAATACACGGCTTCCTGGAGGCTGCTCAACACAAGCAAGTGCCAGGATAAAACCTGCCCTGCAGACCAGTGATCGGAGCCCGGGAACATGGCATGTCCGGAGACCTCAGGAGAAGTCAGATGATCGGCACTATTGTCCCATAAAGCTCCATCTGTGGACTATGTACCCCATTCATCTGAGCTACTATCTCCAATAATGGCACTTCTGTCCTAACAGGAAGTTCCTATTCAATGTACACGATCCTTATTATCCTGTGATCTGGGAGCAACACTTGTCGTTGGAAAAGAAGACTTCTGCACCTTCAGAGTCATGACATTGACAATGGAAGTTCTGTGTTGGATGTTGACGCTCGTTGGAGCATCTACACTTGTTACAGGTTAGTATGTAGGGCTCATGCACACGCCTCAGAATGCACTCTATAATATCCAATAGGGGTCGTTTAGCAAAACTGGAGCAGACAAACTCTGGAGCAGTTGCCATTAGTAACTAATCACCTTTCTTCAGTTTGTTCAGTTCAGCCCCACTCACACCAGGGCTTAGCAAGAACGCGCTACGCGGGAACATGTGTTCCCCCATGTTTGTGGGACTTTATCACGTGTCCCCATTGATCCCTAATGGACACCAAATGCGGAAAAGTAGTACATGTCACAAATCTGGTAACATGCCGTGAATAACTGTTTGCCCAGGCACGTTGGGGCTGCCATTACCTAGTGTGTTCTGCGTTTGTGCTTATATTGAGTGTGGCGCACATTCGATTTGCATTCATGATACACCCTGGTTTAAACGGGGCCCTAAAGTTTGAGAAGAAAAAGTACAAGCTGATTGGTTGCCCTGGGCAACTGCTCCAGATTTTGTCCGTAATGCAGAGCAGCACGCAGGGACATAAAGAACCTGAATTTGGAGAGGGCGTGATGGTGTAATATACAAGTGTGCGCATGCAAGAATTCATTGTAGTGTCTATAATATACTGTATAATAAATAATAATATGTTATGAAAAATAATAGCCACTAGAATACATTTCCGTGTGTACACTTCTAAACACTGTATGCACATAAATGCAACGTACATGGAGGGGGAATTTATCAAAACTGGAGCAGTTGCCCATAGTAACCAATCAACTTTTATCTTTCATTTTTAAAGCTAAACTGAAGAGAGAAGCTGATCGGTTGCCATTGGCAACTGCTCCAGTTTGTGTCTGTTCCAGTGTTGATACATGTGCTTTTTTCCCTGGCTATTATAAATGAATATTCTAGGCTCTAAAATACATGTGTGCATTGTGTCATGTGGGTACGCTTGTAAACATCCATAAACACAAAGTACATTACGCACTGTTACAGGCTGGATCTTTCTGTCAGCTTCAGGATATGAGTTATCCTGACATTCATTTCATTACGTCCAAGTGCATAGGGTGAAAAATTAGGCAAATTGGAGAATTGCACTTTTTTTTTTTTGTTCCATCTGTAGACAGTCATACATTTCTTCAATTGCTATTACCTGGATTCTAAAACTGAACTCTGCTGATCCTTATGTAAATAGACCGAAGAATAAAAAAGCCATGTGTTGTATAGACGCTTATTGCATGTCATTGTATTCACTCCCTGGATCATCACATGTAACAATGTATCTCCTTGCAGGGAACTAGAGATCAATAGTAATGCAGTAAAACTAGGGATGTCCCGATACCCCATTTTTAAGACCAAGTACAAGTACTTCCCCTCATGTACTTGCCGATACCAATTACCGATATTTTTTCTTAAAGGGACAGGTGACATTTAAAAAAAAACAATAGACTAATGATTTTAGGCCAATTTGTTTATGATTATGAAGAACTTTAATTTAAGACTGTTTTAGAACAATAAAACATCTAACCTATTCATGTTTTCAAATGCGATTGTGTGGGACCGCCCAGTCGGTATTGTGGTAACCGCTCAATCTGCCTGGCGCGAATGGAGTGCCATTAGAAAATAATCGCACACCACTGCCGATTGCGCTGGCAGTGCCATTAGAAAATAATGGCACTGCCAGCGCAATCGGCAGTGGTGTGCGATTCCAAGACTGCCCAACCATCTGCTCGGTTTTGTGCGCGATGACCGGGCGGTCACGGATTGCATACCACCGCTGATCGCGCTGGCAGTGCCATTATTTTCTAATGGCACCCCAGTCGTGCCAGGCAGATTGTGCGGTTTACCGCACGATTACCAGGTAATATTCGACAGGGAGAGACCATTATCATCCTGCAACACTGTCGTGGTCAACTTTCTTAATATATGGATTGCCTCAATTGCAGCCCTTGACACCGCCAAAGGGCTGCACATAATATTTATTGAATAGCATAATACAGAGACTGCAGACATGCTGCAGGAGATGGTCATATACTGCAAAGATGCATCAGGAGTTGTTGGGTAAGAGTGAAAAAAAAACATAAAAAGATAAAAGGAATAGACAGTCTAAAAAGGTAAGATGACGTGAAAGAAATAAACTAGAGATGCAGCGAAATGAAATTTCCAAACCGAAACAAAAAATAAAGAATTTGTCAGGTCGAAACCGAAAATATTTTTTTTTCTAATCTTTTAAAAATTATTTTAAAAATATTTTATTTGAATTTATTTATTTTTTACATTACTGTCAGGGGTTCTAAACAGTCCCCTGATATTTCCCTTTTAAAATAGAAAAATATTATATTTCTTTTTCTGCAGCCCCTGTTATAAATGAACAAGAAGCCTCTATACTGAGTGCTCCTGTCCTTTCATAAATTGAGGATATAGTATGAGTTGCTGTGTCCACAATCATGAATGAACAGGAAGTGATGTAAAAAAATTCCTATTCATTCATAACTGGGGACACAGTAAGCATACTCTGTCCTCAATTATTTACAAACACTCAGAGATCAACTGATTGCTGAGTGTTTGTTCACCACTCTCCATTCTGACTTGCTGTCAGAGAAGGCTGAACGGGCGGTGTGGGAGGAGAGCTAAGCCTCCTGTGACTTGGCTGACAGCTGACTCCTCCCCCGCACCGCCAGCTCGGCCTCCCATTACAGCTGTCTCCTCCCCCTTACAACTCTCCATCCTGATTTGCTTGTCACAGGAGGCCGAGTGGGGTGGTGAGTTACATAGTTACATAGTTAGTCAGGTTGAAAAAAGACACAAGTCCATCGAGTTCAACCTATAGAGATACGGAGAAAAAAAAAACAAAAAGAGAAGAAAAGCCTAAACAGAACGCTATGCCCACAGCTACCCCCTGTTGATCCAGAGGAAGGCAAAAAAGGGAGGAGAAAACTTGTCCTTCTGTGACACCGCTGACAGCGCTCTCCTCCCGCCCCGCTCGGCCTCCTGAAAGTTTTTCTCCTCCCCGCTGGGTGCTGCTCTGTGTCAGAGGGGACACAGAGCAGGGCACAGTGCAGAGGAAAAAAACTAGAGATGAACCGCATTTTCGGCCTAAAAACTGTACTTTCAGCATTTTGCCTATATGGTAGTACCAATTTGGTCCGAAATTTTTTGGTCCCCGAAATTTTGATGCATCCCTAAAATAAGCCAAATTGAACTACCATAACCCAGTCTAAAAAATGTCCTTCACTGGCCTGAGTACCAAGATGAGGAAAAGAGTCTACTGTCTGCAGGGGCTCCAAAGGTCAAACAATAAGTGCCAAAGGGCCATAGGTTGGTTGCCAGTGCTGTAAAAGGAAGGGCGGATAAGGACCTTAATGGCAGGATTACCATCATCTTATTTTTTTTTTTTCAATTCTGTTTTTTATTGAAAGAAATTTTTATTTTTTTTGTGGAGGGTATTATCACACTCATGCCGTGGCTCTTAACTGCTCATTAAAAGTTGGTATTCGGTTGATTCAAGGAACTCAGTCCAGTAAAACCATGTGGTGGAGAATTTAGACACTGTGCCCTTTATGGAGCTAGTGAGATCTTCCATATGTTTAATATCATTAACTCGCTGGAGCCACTGCCGTACGGTGGGCGGCGACGACTGTTTCCACAAAAGAGGTATACAGGCCTTCGCCGCATTCACCAGGTGTACAAGCACCATCATCTTATTTTAATGAAAGCTACAAATGTAAAAAATATTGGAAATATCCTTTGAAATTACAAAAACAATTGTCAACACTTACCGTGTTTCCCCGAAAGTAAGCCCTACCCCGAAAGTAAGACCTAGTGCTATCTTCAGGGATTTCTGTAATATAAGACCTACCCCGAAAATAAGACCTAGTTTGGTGGTAGGTCTTATATCACAGAAATCCCTGAAGATAGCGCTAGGTCTTACTTTCGGGGTAGCTGCACATATAACTGATAACTGATTTTTACTTGTGAAGAACGGCCGCAGCTCCCTCCCCCCAAACTACACGCACACCCACCTGTCTGCCTCAGCTGCCAATGAAGACTACATTTCCCAGCAGGCACAGCGCGGCATAGCCAGTGGGGTCAAAGTGCACGGCATCAGAGCGGAGAGAGGACAGCTGCAGCCAGGTAAAAATAAGACATCCCCCGAAAAAAAGGCCTAGTGTCTTTTTTTGTTGAAAAAAATATATAAGACAGTGTCTTATTTTCGGGGAAACACGGTATTAGGTTTGATTGGGTTTACATATACTACCTAGATAGTTCATGCTAGAAAACAGAAGAATTACAAATATAAATACATGGGATTTACGTTCATATTTTTCATAATATTGCATAGCTGATCACTTTCTCACTCTGTGGTGTGTAGCTTCTACAACCAGTTTGCTTTTCCCTATGTACTCCCATCAGATGCATCTTCCCTGTGTACTGGCCGTATACAGTGGACTAGTCCTTTGAATGATGAAACTGGGGAAGGCATTCTGGTGTCATCTGTCATCCTTGTTTGATGAAACAAGAGCTAGACTAGAACAGAGGATGCTATGTGCCAGCTCCTGTGCCTGTCAGCCATTGATTGCCAGCCAAACCACACTAATTACCTTGATGGCATCTACCAATTGTAGCTGTTTGAAGTAGACTTTTTAACACGTGCATACATCTGGACTGATTCAGTAAAGCGGTGTATAGAGCAATGGCGATTGAAAAGTGCAATAACATATAGAAATCGCAATTATGGTTGTAGTTAAATCTGTTAAGAGATTCTTTCTGATCGGATGGTTTGGGCTGCTACATTTTGCACACTGTACTTTGTGTTGCCTGAAAGTCGTACTTAGTAAAAATCAAGTATTCTGGAATTTGATTATTGGGTGTGACTGTTGTGTACTGGGCTTAGCTAATAGGTTTTGGGGCAGATTGGTGTAAATTAGACATCTCATGCATTCATTTTGCCAGCTATAGATTTGTTCATTGAATCCCAATTCCGACTCCCTAATACTCATATAACAACCCTACTCTCAGTGTTATCAGGTTCCA